GACAATGCAAGCTTTCACAAGTCCGTAAAAATCAGAAAATTGATTGGAAATGTAGGGTGTAAAGTACTGTTTTTGCCGCCATATTCTCCGGATTTGAATCCAATTGAGAAATTTTGGTTTGCCATAAAACATGCCATCAGAAAAATACTGCCAATTTTTTCGCCAAATATTAACGCTGCTATTGATTTTATTTTTCAAAAATCAGGTAAACCTTATCTTGGTTAGCTATACGCAACAACAAGGGAGCTTTGTACTGAAATTAATGTACGACATATACAGCGTATTTTACGACTAAATTACCTTGCTCCAAGGATAAAAGAGGATATTCTAAACGGAAACCAGCCAAAATATTTGAAATTAGCAGATTTAAAGAAAATACCGCTTTTATGGAGTGAGCAGTTTGAAAAGTTTTATGGTGTATAATTATTATGGTATAGCAAGCATTATAAAAAATTACATAAGGAAAACGTGTTGTACATATAATTCTCACGTTGAGAGTATTAATAACATGTATAACAATTATAGCGTGGTAAAGTTAATAAAAAATAGCACTATATAATTAAACATCGCCCCTTGTTTGGTATAACGCTTCGGCCTGTGTTCCTTTATCAAGGGAATGTGCTATTGAAAATTAAGTATTGCTTGTTTATGTAATCTTGTTATCATTACTTACTTAATATAAGTATGAGGCAAAAATGCAAACAAATGATAAAAAAGAGATAGAACTTCTTGATAAAAATGGAAAGGCAAAGCATTTAAGTTCCACAGAAAGAAAGGCAGCCATAGAAGCAGCTATTGATGAGTGTGACCCGAAATTGGTGCAACTTTTATTAGGGGCAAAGTATTGCATGCTCTGGCAGTATTGGCTTGTTCGGGCAATCTTCAACTTTGACATGCTCTTTTTATCTAAAATGACTAAATGTGAACTTCCCCTTGATATTGCTAATAAACAGCTGAAATACCTTAGTGACAAGAAGCACATTGACATTAAAGAATTAAATAGTATTCAAGAGAATTGTAAAAGGGAATACTACAAAAAGGCGGAGGAGTTTTATGGAAATAATAGATTATTACAAATAAAACGTGATACAGGTGGAAGAATACAATTGGAAAGTACTGCTAGAAAGTCATTGGTAGAATCTACAGTAGCACAACAATTAGCGGGTACTAGTCTGCAGTGTTACCGTGATAATAATGGAGGTTGTGATGTTCCTGACAGCATTGAAGCAGCTGTTAATGCCGATTTTTCTCAAGAATGTAAGTCAATGATGACAGAATCAATCAATGAATTTAAACAAATAACTCAAAGTACCGATGATGTACGTGATTTACAAAATGCTCTACGTGGTAAAGTTAGAAAGTATGGAAAAATCTCTTTCCTCAAAAATTGATAAAGTTAAGGAAGGGATTATAAAAAAGATGCAAGATAACAAATTTTTAGATAAAGACTTTGTTAAATCTGAGTACAATAAACTACTTGACCATTATTTTAGCTCTAGTGCATATGCCCGCAACAAAAATAACTTGCTATATGAGTATACAAAATCAAATGAAAGTATAAATGAAGCTAAAAAGTCCTTGCGAGAGTCATCTCTAAATTATGGTTTTGGTGAATGTATAGATTATGCTGCACAAAAGTTTAACAATGTAAAGGACAAAGAGAAGAAGGAAAAATATTTAGATATAATAAGAGTGCTGGCTGTTAATGGAGCACATTCAGAATCGTTAATCAACATTTTTGATAGTAAAGAGTTAAAGAAAATAGCCTCACAATCAATCTTTACAACCGCAAGAAGCGCGTACCAGGTATTGTTTGATTTTGATAGCAGTGTTGAATCCAAGTTTATGTCTAATATTGTTGNTAATTTTTGTTATCATTACTTACTTATACGCATGAGGCAAAAATGCAAACAAATGACAAGAAAGGAATAGAACTTCTTGATGAAAATGGGAAGGCAAAGCATTTAAGTTCCACGGAAAGAAAGGCAGTAATAGATGTAGCTATTGATGAGTGTGATCCGAAATTAGTGCAACTTTTATTAGGGGCAAAGTATTGCATGCTCTGGCAGTACTGGCTCATTCGTGCAATTTTTAACTTTGACATGCTCTTTTTGTCTAAAATGACTAAATGTGAACTTCCCCTTGATATTGCTAATAAACAGCTGGAATACCTTAGTGACAAGAAGCACATTGACATTAAAGAATTAAATAATATTCAAGAGAATTATAAAAGGGAATACTACAAAAGGTGGAGGAGTTTTATGGAAATGATAGATTATTACAAATAAAACGTGATACAGGTGGAGGAATACAATTGGAAAGTACTGCTAGGAAGTCATTGGTAGAATCTACAGTAGCACAACAATTAGCGGGTACTAGTCTGCAGTGTTACCGTGATAATAATGAAGGTTGTGATGTTTCTGACAGCATTGAAGCAGCTGTGAATGCTGATTTTTCTCAAGAATGTAAGTCAATGATGAAAGAAACAATCAATGAATTTAAACAAATAACTCAAAGTACCGATGATGTATGTGATTTACAAAATGCTCTACGCGATAAAGTAGTAAAGTTAGAAAGTATGGAAAAATCTCTTTCCTTAAAAATTGATAAAGTTAATGAAGGGATTATAAAAAAGATGCAAGATAATAAATTTTTAGATAAAGATTTTGTTAAATCTGAGTGTAATAAGTTAATTGACTATTATTTTAGATCTAGTGCATATGCCCGCAACAAAAATAACTTACTATACAAGTATACAAAATCAAATAAAAGTATAAATGAAGCTAAAAAGTCCTTGCGAGAGTCATCTCTAAATTATGGTTGCGGTGAATGTATAGATTATGCTGCACAAAAGTTTAAAAATGTAAAGGACAAAGAGAAGAAGGAAAAATATTTAGATATAATAAGAGTGCTGGCTGTTAATGGAGTACATTCAGAATCGTTAATCAACATTTTTGATAGTGAAGAGTTGAAGAAGATAGCCTCACAATCAATCTTTACAACCGCAAGAAGGGCATATCAGGTGTTGTTTGATTTTGATAATAGAAGTGATGAATTTAAGTTCATGTCTAATATTGTTGGTGAAGATGGGAAGTTTGCTGATCCTCGGAGTCAGAATGTGCGTATTTTAGAATCTAGTGGCTCCCCGATTGTAAAAACTATACTAGGTAACTTAAAAAAGGTAGAAAAGGAATTACAAGAAAAAAGAGAAAGTGGGAAGGCAAATCGTAGAGTTGGTATTTTCAGTGATATAGGGTATTATCTATTAGATTTCTTAAATGAAAAGGTTTTAGCAAACAAACTTGATCCACAGTCTAAGGAACAACACATAAAAACGTATACTGTGTTATACGAAACATTGGAAATAAGTTACTTAGCCATGGCAACGGGTGATGATAGGGTAATCGTTGATTATGGCAAGGAGTTAAAAAGTAAGATAAAGAACGAATCTAATAAAGATATAGTGGAAGTGTATAGTGTTCTATATTCATTATTTGAGGAGTATAGGGCAGTAAAGGGAAAAGAAGATCCGACTAGCGACATTGCAAGATGGCAAAGATTCTGGTATCATTTTCAAGATATATTTCGTCCATATAACGATAATGTACGTGAGGATAAAGCAATAAAGGCTTTACGTATTGCTATGTATGCTACAGAGATTGTATCCGAAGAATATGAAGAACAGCAAAGACAGCGTTTTACCAAGGAATTTCGTAATATAGATGTAAAATTTTTACCAAGTAATTGTTTAATTAACTGGTTGGGGGCAACTTATGAAGGAATACAAAAAAGTGAACAGGAACAGACTGCACAAAAAGATAAAAAAATAGCACAGGAAAGCCACAGGGCTGAGCAGGAGTCTCAAAGGGCTGAACTAACTGAAAAGATAAGTCAGATATTTACAGAAGTGATGTTGGATTCTAATATGGAAAGAGAATTAAGAAAAACAGTATCAAAAAGTCAAGTCAGTATTGTAAGAACAGTAGTAAAGGATGTAATGGAACACAACTCATCACCGGAACAAATACTAAATGAAATGATGGGGGAAATAAAGAGAAATAAGGAGAAAATATTAAGTACAGAAGATGCAACAGCAGCAATAGTTGAAGCAATTGAATCTGCAATAATGAGTTTGAATAGTCAGGGCACCTCGGTGAGCAATGTAAATATAAGTCAAGGTGCTGCAATAGGGAGAAATTAAGTTATGCAACAAAAAAGCATTGTTGATTTTTTATTAAGCCATAGAAGGTATCAAGTGCTGTGGTGGGAGTTTGGCACTACTATACTTGAGTACTTATGTAAACAAAAAAGTTTTAATGCTAAAGAGCTATTAGAAAAACATAAAAATAATATTGCGTTGGAAAAAGAGAGTTTAGAGTTACTTGCAGCACTTGGTGAAATCAAAGCTTACTGGTGGTGGCCGTGGAGCGCTAAAGTTAAAGAAATTGTTTTAAGTGAAAGTCAAAAGGAAAGAGCAGAAAAGTATCCAAGCTATTTTTTCTTACATCGGGTAGTGTTAGTGATGTTTACCTCAGTGCTTACCCATCGTATTGTGTTTTTTCAACAAAGTGGAGGCTATATGAATAGAAATCAACAATTTAATAATTCTGAAGAATCGTCAGCAGTACAAATAGGACAACAGCTACCAGAAGCTTCAGGTAGTTTAACAGCTCAAGATCAATTAAGTATTCAACACCTGAATTTTCTTGGATCCGCAATGGTTTATAATGTGGAGTTGGAATGGGCATTGCATTTAATGGGATTTTCTTCGCAGACTTTAAGTAACTTGGATGAAAGCCTAGCTCAGGTTAGAAGTGCAGGTTATAGTAAAGAAGCAATGGCACAATATGCCTTATCTTTTAAAGAAATATTTAGCAAGAAGTACAAAGAATTAGCATGTAAGGTTCATCCAGACAAGCAAAACACACAAAACTCATCAGACATAAAAGATGAAAAAATGAAAGACCTGGTCAGCATGAATGAAGTCATGAACGGGTTGTATGAAGCGTCAAAAGAGATAAAAAATAGTTTTAGGTACGGAATGTTTGCTAAAATAGCATTTAACTTTTTGCACAAAAATATAGATAAATGTACAAGTTATATAAATAAAGACGTAGTAGCAGAATTGAGAAATATAACAATTTGGCGGCAATCTGATTTACTTTACTGTCGCAATGAGTTTTTAAAAAATGCACAAGAACTTTTTGCAGAGCATAAAACTAACCTGCCAAAGATGAAACAAAATTTTGAGAAATTAATCGATAATTACACTGATCGTTATAAGAAACTCTGGCTTGATAATTTGAGAGATCTAAAACACAGGTGTGATAAAGATAAAAATTTAAACATTATCGAAGATGAAGTGCAAGAGCTGTTAAAAGAAGGTTCAAGACAACTCCTATTGTTAATTAAACCTTCAAAAGGGGCAGATGATGCTATGTTACTAATTAATAAATTCAAATTTAAGAAAGAGGAGAAACAAGCACTTATAGCAGAATTGGAAAAATCGGATCAAGTAATCCCAGATAAGTGCTTTATCTTGCCAATGATGGTATATAAAGATGTTATGAAGCAATTATTCAAGAGCTATTATGCAGGAAATATGCCTTTACATGATATAGCGCATTTCACAGATGTATTTAAAGAAAATGCTGTAACATCGGAAAGTCAAGAGTTTCATGTTAAACAATATATAGAAGCATGTTCATTTAGTGAGTTACAAAAATGGATTAATTTACTCAAAGAAGAAGACATTTTACATAAATTTACAAAAAATCACCATCCGCTTAGAGAATTTATAGATAGTGTTGAGTATCAGACAAAAAGCAAGTGTAAGTGGCCGAGAAAAGCAACAAGAGAAGAAATGAAGCGAGTAATATTGATACAGATTTTGGATAGGTATATTGTGTGCTTGAAGGAAGAATTTACAAAAGAGAAAACGTGGTTTAAAAGGATGGAAGAAGAAATACAACAAATACAAGAAGGTATACAAGAAAAAGATAAAAAAATAGCACAGGAAAGCCACAGGGCTGAGCAGGAGTCTCAAAGGGCTGAACTAACTGAAAAGATAAGTCAGATATTTACAGAAGTGATGTTGGATTCTGATATGGAAAGAGAATTAAGGAAAACAGCATCAAAAAGTCAAGTCAGTATTGTAAGAGCAGTAGTAAAGGATGTAATGGAGCGCAACTCATCACCGGAACTGCTGTTAAATGAAGTGATGGGGGAAATAGGAAGAAATAAAGCGCAAATATTGAATGCAGAAAATGCAACCGAAGCAATCAATGCTGCAATTGAGTCTGCAATTATGAGCTTTAATAGTCAGGGTACTTCAATGAACAATGTAAATATCAGTCAAGCTGGAACAGGACTCAGTCTATGAAACCTGCAGCTAATTTATTGGAGTGGCAAGAAAATGTAGCTGAGTTTTTATTTCGCCGTAAAAAATATCGTGTACTTGGTTGCGAATTTGGTCCTAGTTTGCATATCTTTTTGTGCAAGATTTTTTTTAAGAAAAAGCTTCTCTTTAGCGTGACAAAAAATTCAATTATTTACTTTCTCTAAATCGCAAAAAATGTCCTACCTTTTAGAGAAAAATGGCGAAAAGTTAATAGATTATGTAAAGAAAATGGAAATTTTGGGGAAAATAATTAGGTACGAAATGTCGTATGTATATGGGTAAAAATAAGCTATTATTGGAGATTTTTGCTATACTAAAATTAACTTAGAGAGGAGTTTACAACTATGGGTAAAT